TTGCTGCAGAGGTAAAGAGCTATGAGCCAGCATTTGGCTCCAAGGTTTGTGAGCAGCCCTGTGTGGATAGCATGAGAGATCTGGTGTTGAGAGACCGAGGACGTCCGGACATCCCACTAGCATGGACGCAGCACCAGGTCAGTAAAAAAGTAAAAGTGCAGTAAAAATCATGTAGAGACACAGACAAACTGAAAGTTTAGGCTTATGGCCACTGTCAACTGCCCACTCACAATTCAGCCAATCATATACCAGGGAATTCATTTTTTACATGGTTTATTTCAGGGTGTAAAAACTCACAAATCAATTACAAAGATATTCAAAATGTGCCTAATCGTGACCAAATCAGATTGTAAGAGTTGCTTGTTACAAGCTTATAGTCATCACTGTCTTCAAATGAAGCCTTTGGATCTAACGCTGATCTTCTTTAGGGGATGAACATCTTCTGTTCCACCATCACTGAGTGCTGGGATCACGACCCCGAGGCTAGGCTCACGGCTCACTGCGTGGTCGAGCGCTTCAGCGCCCTGGAGCAGGCGGAAGATGACGACAGGGTGGGAGACGAAGAAGACGAGGAAGAAGTAAGTCAGGAGTAAGAAGACGAGGTGAAACTCTGGCAAGAGAATGAAGCAGAGAGAAAAATAGACTTGGAGACGCCTCATGCTCCGTCTCCTCGAGGAGAGGAGATCTCTTTTCTTCCAGATTGAAAGGGAGGACATGCCTGAGGTTCACTGCTTCACACTGGTTTTCCCCCTAACGAGTCTTCATGGTTCGCTGTGTTTGCATTGTCGGAGAAACACGTGTTTTTTTCTGCTAATCTTCAATGAGACACTGATAGAGAATGAATTGTTAAGTCACTAAAACTGACAAGAATCTAAACCACAGTTACAGTTAAAGCAGTTTTTGACTGATAGTTAGGATTATCTAATTTGCCACAATAAGGATATTCAAAAAGTCAATATTAGCAAGAGTGGACCACTTCATAGACATTGCCCCAGTTTGCTCAGATGGAAGTTTAGCTCAGTCTCAACAGATGGGAATGGACCACTGGTGCAGACTGGAACATCTCAACATGGAGAGGGATTTTACACAAACTTTTAAACTCACAGTCGTATAGTCTGGAGAATCTTTAGGTAGTGTTATCTTTCTCAAATAAAATGTGAAGAAAATAAGTTTTCCCACAAGAATATATAAATAAATAGAACAAAATGGTCCAACATATAGTATGACAAACCTTTATATGAACCAAAGAATAATTCATGGTTGTGCAATTTGGTTGAACTTGTGTAAAGCAAAAAATCTATACCAGCAACCCCATGACTGCACTGTTGCCATTTTATATTGACTTCTAGAGAGACAATCATAAAGAAAAGAATGGCCCCAAATTTCATGTTTTTTAGACTGTACATTTTCTGAGATATTTCAAGCACACCCACTCTTGGTGCCATTTTTACCCCTTTGCTTTGTCGTGTAGTGATCTGGCAGTGCGAACACAGCCGTTGTCACCCAACAGAGGGATTTTGTTTATTACGAATTTGTGTGTTTTCTCTTTGTTGCTTCCTGGATGTTTCCAGCAAAAGACCAGAGGAGACAGAAATGAACCAAAGACTGACTGTGCCTTAAACGACAGACCTACTTCTTTGCAAACGTTTGCTGAGGATGTGACACCCGAATCAGTCATAGATCTGCTGGCAGTTGCTGATCGCTGAACAGTTTGAAAAAGATTTGATTTGTTGGAGCTGGTCTCCATTTTGTCACGGTATTATTCTTTTATACTGGCTGTGACATGTGACTTATCATTGCTATACTATAACCTACTACTGTAGGTCATGTGACTATAACCTACATTTATGAATAAACAGGAGAGAAAAATCTTTTTCCTGGTTTTATGTTTGTTTGATAAAAAAAATCTTAAAGAATAAATTTGACTTTTTTCATCTACACAGTTTCATCCCTTGGTGTATTTTCTTCTTTTCAATTACTTCTCTGAAAGACATTACTATAAATGCTGATAATATAAACTTATCTGCCACTCAATTCTATACATCTTGCTATCACTGGTTTGAACCCCTTTTTTGCTGTTTGAGTGGCCTCATATGGATTTAAAAGAAGATTCTCCGAGGTGCTGGAAACATTTCTCTGAGATTTTGGTCCATGTTGACATGACAGCTTAAAAATAACCTACACACCATTACACCACCAGCAGTAGCCTAAACCATTGATACAAGGGAGGATGGAGCCATGCATTTGCATTAATTACACTAAATTTCACAGCAGAAATTGAGACTCAGACCAGGGAACTTCTTTCCAATCTGGTGCTTGACTTTGGTGAGCCTGTGCAAATTGCAGTCCCAGTTTTCTGTCCTTTGCTGACAGGAGTGGCACCTGGTGTGGTCTTTTGCTGTTAGAACCCATCTGCTTGTGCTTTCAGAGATGCTCTTCTGCATACCTTGGATGTAACAAGCGGTTGCTTGAGTTACTGTTAACTTTCTATCAGTTTGAAGTGGTTTGCCTTTCTCCTCTGACCTCGGGCTTTTTGGCTTAAAGAACTGCCTCACACTGGATATTTTTTATTTTTCAGACCATTCTCTGTGAGCCCTGGAGAGGCTCTGTGGGAATATCCCAGTAGATCACCAGTTTATGAATTACTCAGACCAGCCTGTCTGGCACCACCAAGCATGCCACATTCAAAGTCACCTAAAATCACATTCTGATGCTTGTCTGTATACTTGAAGGCATTGAGTTCCTGCCGTGTGATTGGCTGATTAGATTTAGATTAGATCAGACATTTGCCTTAATGAGCATGTTATATACCCGAGAGTAAGGCTACGGGACGTGGAATAACAATGGTATAACAGGGAAAAGAAAAAGCCAAGCAGAACAAATTGTGAAAAACTAAGTTTAAATTAATAAAGGAGTCAACTCAAAAAGTCGGCAACACCGCTATTTCAACTAAACAAACGACATCCACAAACTAAAACACACCAAGGAACGATAAAGGAGATGGTTAACCAAATTAAAGGTTCACTTCTGCTACCAGTGGATACCAGCTACTCATTAGAAGCTCAAAGAAAACAAAGTTTCATTAAGACAAGCTGAATACACCACTAATGCTCACTAAGAGGGGTCCACACACTGACTGAGCTGCTCTTTAGTAGCCAGCTGTGCACTGGCTCCTCAGGAGGGATGGATGGCAGCTGAGCTCCTGAATGACAATCTAGTGTCTAAAAACCTATATGTTGAAAAACAATATAGTATTGTTCATTATAAAAAATAAAGTTTTAAAACTTTTAAAACCATTTTTATGGTGGATACAAAGCTAAGTAACAATGTTTCTAGCTTGTTTCTATCTGACAAAAGATATTCCACCTAAAGATAATGCACCATATATAATAAAAATGATTATTTGTTTGAATTATCTATGTTCTGTTTTAGCCTACATTTGTTTACACTGAAAAAAAATATGCCCATTAGCCAGCAGAAGTTGTTGTGTACCTGTGAATGTAAAGATGAAATCCATTTTACTACTGGCTAAAAAACAAAAATTTAATGTGATGATTCAGAAGTAAGTTCTTCCACTTTCTGATCATTTCTGAACCCTTTTTTAAAAAATAAATAAATGTTTGTTCAAATTTAGGAATGAACACTTCATACGCTATTTCATCCTAGTTTGTTTATAAAAGAATAAAAATCTGTTGATTCTGTTTGTTGTGGGAGACAAGAGACAAAGATCGAATAGGTTAGATTGCTTTCAAAAAGGAAAGGGAGAGTAAGTGTCGCAGGATTGTTAGGGATAAACTAACACAGACATTGATCAACAAACGTATAAAATATAAAATGTCAGAAAATATTGAAAATATACAGTGTGTATATCATCATATCCTTACCAAGCAATCCTTTTGAAGCCGGTGCTTCTGTAGATTTATGTTTTCTTATTTTTTCTTTTTTAACCATAATGAAAATGCAAATCTCCAACATCACAGAAGAAACAAATGAAAGGGAAGCTGAAAACCACAAAAACTTTACAGCAGCATTTTATGGGTTGGGCTGGGCACTGAGATGGTTTTGGAGCCGGCTAAGCAAAACAGAATTTTTCATTAAAGCCTGAAAAATACAATAACCATAACACATGAGAAATAAATACCTATTACAATGAAAGAAATGATCACTTAACATAAAAAAACGTACCAAATATGCATGTTTTTGGTGCTACAATTTGACTTAAAATGTTCCGTTAAAATGAAAATTTTAAGTCATTACCATGTAACACTGGAGTTTTCCACCTTCCTAACAGAGTGAAACAAGAGCTAATACAATCAAACAGACACAGGGTGGATTCTCATTAGCTACAGCGATCAGAGATGGTCTAAGTGTAAGCCATGATGGGCATTCAGATGTAATCACATTTACCTCATGTGTCTGATGTTTTGGTGCCACAGAGCGTGGGAACACAGCATCACATGGTGGAAAAAGTGAAAAGCTTTACAGACCTGCCTTAAGAAAAGAGGCAGGCATTAACTTTGAAGTGAAGGGAACCATAATGAACCTAACCCATTTTCTTCAAATTTTTGGTTAAGCATGATGTCTTCACAATTCACAAGAATAATACCCAAAAGTTTTTCTTAATTTTTTTTTCTCCCATGTCCCTTGCGGGGCTCCGTAAAATTATGTCTCAAGTACATTTTTTAGACGGATTCTAACTTTTTATGGATTTGTGAATCTGTATCGCTGCTATAAATAATTAAACTTATGAAAAATATTGTATATAATAAAAAAATATTATACAAGCTTTTAAAGCAAATGCCTTTCTAAACTCCGCACTAAAAAAAGATAAAACGTTGTTATTTATTTCCTTTGCCCCTTTGAGAGAGGAAAAAGATGTACCATATCTGTTGAATATACCTCATCCTACTAAAATATGATCTTTGGAGCGCTGTCTTCCTTCATTTGGGGGAGTGAATCATCTTGACAACAGACGATCTTCGGAGTGCACCCTCAGCTGACATAAGCTACAAACCAGGACCGCCGCAGCTGTCAGGCGTATATTTATCCCCTCACCGGCCGGCGTTACTGCTTTTACTGCTCTTTTCACTTCGGGTATAACTTATTTGAATTTGTTCGCTTGTTTTTCATTTATTCATTTATTTTTTGCGGGATGTTAACATGTTTTGATTCACCGCGCAAGCGATGAACGAAACGAAAGTAGAAGGGACCGGACCGACACCGGCGAAGATTCTGTTGACTTCGGGCTGCCAAGCCCCTTTTGTCGGGCAGGTTGGAGGATGGAGCTGAGGTTAAGCCGGGATGGCAAGCCGTCCGTGTCCTGGCTCCTCCTCAGCCCAGCCCTTTTCTTTTCCCTTCTGGCCGTGCTAGTGAGCTGTCACGGTTCCTGCAAACACCGAGTCCCTTCTCCCAACGAGGTGAGCCTCGGCTGTCTCTGCCACAGCTTAGCTAAGCTAGATCTGTAACAGCAGAGGCTAAGCTAGCACGTTAGCTGCGTCGGCTATTTAAGATGGTATTAAATATTATACAGTGTAATAAGACTTTATCGCCTCGGTACGTGGAAAATGAATAGTTGACAATCCCCAGCACGATGTGAAGGACGTGTTTTTGTGATAAATACAACGAAAGCGTGTTGTTCAGTTGGTTCCTCACTAAGACTTGATGTGCAGTTTGATAGCAAGCTTACAGGCTAACAGTGATGCCACTGTGGTATACAAAGCTTGTACTGTGTTCACTGTACAGCTTCTGTCATGCACATTTAGACTATGAAAGCAGCTTTCAGATCACATGCCACTGTCTATAAATCAGTTTCAGCTGTTCAGCTTCAGCCTTTTCCCCTTTAAACAGCCAAAATGACATCTGGCTAGATTAATTATTTCTTAATTTATTAATTCAAAATACAGCTGCACTCTGTACCCCAAACATTGTATTCACAGAAGACAGGTATTTTTAACTAAATGTACACAAAACCCATTCACAGTGAAATGGACAGATTAGGTTTTTAATAACTAACTAAAAGGCGAGTTTGTGACTCTCAGTTTTTAGCCATTAAAAAAATAAACAGAAAAGCTTATTGGACGTCGTTTGTAAGGTGGAGCGCTTTACCTATTCTGAAGGTATTTCCAGAATCCTTAAAGGCTCTGATCACCAGCATCAAATATAATACTTGCTTCTGATTGAGAGGAAGTTGAACTGTGTTTTGAGCATTTCAGTTTCTCAGTTATCATAAACACATTTTTGTACTGCAATTTCTACTCTTGATAGTTGGCATATGTTCCAATACTATACCAATAATAGTTTTGTAAAACACTAAACACATCTATTGTTAGTAGTATTGGTTGATTTAGTTCTCCTCTTATAAATTGCAATTCTCATTTTCTGCTATCCTGTTTCAGATTGTCCACCATGTTTACTTGAAGCCTGAGCGTTTGACTAAGAGAAGCTCTCCAGAAGACCTTCAGCTGAAAATAAAGATCATCTATGACAGCAGTGTTGACCAGTAAGTGCTACAGCAACTCAAAGGATTAAAAAACAAAACAAAAAGCCAAACAGAGCAACTGTCACCATTTTTCTAGCATCCATATGCCAGGTTTGTGTGTGTAACAAGTATGCTCTCCATCCACAGACTTACTGCAGACAAAAGGAGACTTGTGAAGGTGAGGACACACCTGAGCACTTTATACAATAAATGTTTTGTAATAGTTAAAGTCTAACTATAACCTTGTAAAATAACACATTTCAACCACAGAGAAATTGGTATAAATAAAAGTGGAAATTAAGAGTCAACTTGTTGTGGTTTTCCCGATTTTGATTTTTAAGCAGTAAATAGGGTTTTCTGTTAAATCTTACATTCAAAGTCCAGTATCCACAAGAACTGCAACATGAGGACATCATCAGTGGTTTTAACATTCAGCCGTGCCTTCTGCTGTTTGTTTTGGTTCTCAGCTGTGAGGTTCAAGTGCAGCACTCGTGAAAAACATTAGCAGTAGTTGAAGTGATGTCGGATTGGGCTTTGCAGCATTGTTGGCTGTGATCAGAGGTGTAACAGATTGAAAATGTGTTACTCCATGTGTCCCTCTCTAGGATAAGCTCTTTCCTCAGGCCATCGCTTACCTGCAGAGGGCTTTCAGTGTCAGGCGCAGAGTGGGGCCTGTACTGCTCAGCAGGTATGTAGTCCCTGCCGTCACTATTTTAGCTACACATGTGCACAAATTTTCAGTTCAGTAATATAAAAGAAAGTATAAAACAATAGTCTAGAGTAATTTAGATTTTTAAATATGTTCCACATACTGTCATAAGAGGTTTAAAGGTATTTTATTTAAGTAAAAGCATTAATATCAAAGTGTGTGCATATGTATTTTATTTTATTTTTTAAAGAAAGAATGAAACTACAATGACATCACCCAGTGGTTTTGGGATTCTGCCTTTTGAAGATACAACGTTAGCATTTTGTTGCTTGCCATGTAGATTCTTTGGCTCTGTGATCAAATTTGGATCAGAGTGCAAAGTGCTAAGCAGTCAGCTAACAAACACTTGGTCAGAAACCTGCATCCACAAGTTGTGCGGGTGCAATGGGCAAACACAGATAGCTGACAACTGGTGGTAAGTGACAGATTAATAAATACTACAGTGTCACTCACCAAAAACTGTAGCACAAACCTCTTTAATTGGGCTGTTTCATGGATTAAGTCGTGTTATTTGTGTGATGATTTGAAGAAGAGTCACCAAACACACCAAGACCAGTTGACTGAGGCCTAGCAGGTGTCAATTAGCTCCAGTGTAAGCACTCCTATAAATCAAAGCACCCCCTTAATAAAATCCAGATGAGTAATTTAATCAAGTGCTGTGTGTTTATGTTATACTATTTAATTGCCAGAAAGTTGTTTAAATGTTTGTTTCTCTTGGATTTCTGGGAACCACATCTGTGGTTATATTTAATTAACTGTTTCTGTTATCTCAGACAATGTGCAACCAACCAGTACATGAGGAAGAGAGATGACCCTCATCGCTACTGCCAGGACGCCTGTGCAAACCTTACGCGATGTGGGCCCGTCATTGTACCACAGCACCACCTGCAGGTCAGAGCGTGCATAGATAGATTACTGATCACACACGACAAGGACTCTAGCCTTGTTAGCAGCTGTTTTCTGTTTTTATTTGGAACATATGAAGTGTTAATTCATTGCTAATTAACATTAAAATATTGACCAAGCATGCATTGACCAAAATGTATATAATGTTACTGCTGTAGTTGAATTCTACAGATAACACATAACCAGACAGTGCTGTTGACCATTTTCCCCATGATTTAAAAAAAATTCTGACCAACTTTTAACCGACAGTGTTTTTATGCTAAGATGTGAACACTGTTGTCCATCCTCACTGGTTCAGTGTGCTCTCTGCTCACTCCAATGTCGTGTTTCTCTTCTAGCAATGCAAGGTGTGCAGTGAGTCTGGGAAGTCATGTGGCCCTACAGGGCCCCCAGATGGGCCTGGAGTCGAAGGGTCCGATTTTGTGCTGTACGTCAGCGGTGTCACCACAGAACGCTGTGGGCAGGAGAACATAGTGGCCTATGCTGCTTACTGCCAGCTGGAGGCGGAGCTGGATAGGTGGGAGGATAAAAACCTTACTTAGTGTTAATTTAAAAAATAAACTAAAAATACAATCCAGTCTTTAAATAAAGTCTCATTTTTTTGCTTAATAAGCAATGAACTGTCATCTTGGTAACAGAAATAAATCAAACTGTCAGAATATCACAGTATAAACTAATGTTTGTCAGGGTGTTTTTCCTTTTAGACCTATAGCAGGCTACGCCAACCTGTGCCCTGCTATGATCTCCTCTCAACCTCAGGAGTTTGAAGGGATGCTGTCCACAGTCAAACATGAAATCATCCACGCTCTGGTCAGTACCACTTGTCACTGCTGTTGAGCTTCCCGTGGGTGAATTAGGTTCACACAGATTGCTCAAAAGACATTTTTGAACCATATTTTCGTAGGCAGATTTTTAACATTTGAATACATTTGGAGATGCTTTACTGTTGACCAACAACAGTTTGCCAAAGCTGAACTTAAAAGCTAAAAATTGATGTGGGTTTATTTTTACCTCGTGAGCATATTAATAAAAAATGCAAGATTTTGCCCAGAAGATGTGCTGCTATAAATATTCTTGTAATTTGGTGCTAAATAGACTCTTGTTGAGTAATTTGTGCATGTGTGAAATCTGTCACTGACTGGAGTTTCTCCTTACGTCCTCTAGGGGTTTTCAGCCGGTCTGTTTGCTTTCTACCACGATGATGAGGGCAAACCTCTGACTCCTCGTTTTGCAAGCGGCCTGCCCGCCTTCAACGAGAGGTGATTACACTATATGTAATGGTCATCTATGATTTCTAGTGTTCAAGCTCTAACTTCTAATCCTATACCTGTGCATCAGTCTGGGTCTGTACCAGTGGAGCGATGCCGTTATCAGAAGAGTTACCAGACTGTGGGACATCAGAGGAGGCGTGATGGTCCGACACCAAGTGCATGTCCTTGTCACTCCTCGTGTTGTGGTAAGAAGCTTCAATATTAAGAAAACTGGTTAGTTTCGTAACTCTTCTTCTGTTTATGTGAGTCTAGAAAAAGATCATGTACTGTCATTTTGCACCTCTTAGCTGTAGTTTTGACTGTGCTTATAAAAACAATTGTTTTACAAAGATTTATACACACCAGGAGTTGTTGAAGGAATGTAATATATAGGTCTGATTAGAAAGAGTGGACAAACTTGAACCTATGAGATTGTTATTGGAGGCCAGTTTAGGTGTTATAGTTGATGTCAAGTAATAACTAAGTAGTATGTGTCTTCCTTTCTGTTTCCAGGAGGAGGCGAGGAAACATTTTAATTGCCCCATCCTGGAGGGGATGGAGCTGGAGAACCAAGGAGGGACAGGAACCGAACTAAACCATTGGGAAAAGAGACTCTTAGAGGTCAGCACATGTTTTCTCGTGGCTTTTTGGTAGCCAGTAGTTTGGGCTTCTCCGTTGTGTTCATCCATTTTTTTTTTTTCTCATTCATCCCAGAATGAGGCAATGACGGGCTCCCACACTCAGAACCGAGTATTTTCTCGGCTGACGCTGGCTATCATGGAGGACAGCGGATGGTACCGCGCCAACTACAGCCTGGCTCAGAGGCTGGACTGGGGCCGTGGTCTCGGCTGCGACTTTGTCATGAAGAGCTGCAAATTCTGGATGGACAAGCAGAGACAGAGGTCACAGAAACACAAACTCTGTGTCAAACAGAGTTGAAGTTTTTTTTTTTTGCTATTTTTTTCCCTCATGATCACAAAGCTCATGGTTTTAGTTTGAAGCTGGCACCAATGGTTGAAAAAATGACCAAGTTTAACACACTGAAAAAGGGGCATATGTATATGTTACAGATAAATTCTGTACTGTACCAGGTACCCACAGTAATGGCATATCTAACTAGCAGCATTTATCATGTACTTGTTGTTGCAGAAGACACGCTGTAACTCCGTACTGTGACACAGTGCGAGCCTCTCCTCTGCAGCTCACCTGCAGACAGGATCAGCTGGCTGTGGCTGTGTGCAACTTGCAAAAATACCCACAAGAACTGCCACTTAAGTACCAGGTATGCAAGCCCCCCACCACTACCAATATTGATATGTTTGTGATTGTTCTGCTGAAACTAGTGGATGTGTTATTTCTTTTTTTCTTATATAAAATGCCTGACAAGGTTATTTATAGCTACCACACAGTGCTGTATGTGCATGTTACAGTAAGCTCTGCTGTGTTCAGTGAGTGTGCTGTGGGTAACTATATGTGCTGTGTCAGTATTTCGAGCGGATCCCTGACGTGGCTGCTGATCAGCTGTCGTTCTTTGGGGGTGCTGTGGAGATCGCGGACTACTGTCCATTTAGTCAGGAGTTCAGCTGGCACCTCAGTGGAGAATACCAGAGAAACTCCTACTGCAGAGTGTCTGAGAACCAGCCAGGTACTGCTTATACTGCTGTTTCTACTGCTGCCTTTAGTCTAGTGCTGTTTTAAATCAAACTCTGTGAACAGCTGTAGTACAGGGAGGGAGGTTAGAATAGTTTCCTAATATATTTCTTATTCTTCTGTGCCTTAAACGCAGGTCACACACACACACCCGATTATTTAAAAAAATAAATAAATAAATAAATAAAAATATGCAAAGAAACCACTCACTAGACTAATTACAGCAATTACCTTTACTCTTTCAAGTATTGAATTTCAAAAAGCGACTTCATATAAAGATGCATAAGATGATCCTAAAGCTCCTTAGGACTAGAACTAATCCTGGTTTGGACACCTTAAGGCCCTTTCACATAGGACACGGCACGTGCAGCAAGGAGTACTCACAGTCAAGTTCAACTTTGAACTTTGACCACTGTTTTCAGTGGCCAGATCAGACAGATGCATGGTGTTCATTTTTAAGTAATTTTATTTTTATTATAATTTTCAATAATTTTTAAATAATTTGTTAAAATCAAAAAGAGCTTGACAGAGAAGTAGCTCACCACCATTTAGCATAAATCCATAAGAACACATGTCTGCCCAGTTTCACTGTCAGGAACGTGAAACCTATTCTGTCATAGGTGTGACTGAGAGCTCATCAGTAAAGACGGTGGTCCCCACCCTTTTTTGCTCCATGGACCGGTTTAATGTCAGACAATATTTTCATGGACAGCCTTTAAGGTGTCACGGATGAATACAACAAAATAAAATGATACGACCAAGACAAAAACTGTGGTATTTTGTAAATATAATAATAAACGCCAACTCACTGTGTAATTGTGTTACTTTATTAGCAGCGTCTTCCTGAAATGTGCCAACAACATGGAGAGTAACATCCTCCTCTCTGCCACTTAATGCTCTCTGGTCGCTATGGTAATGCGTAAATATTTCTTTCAAAATAAGATGCACAACTATAATACGGAAAATGACCCAGGGAAACCGAATTAACGATAAAAACCCCGAAAACCATAAATTTCACACCCGAGCCTCAACTCTCGTGGTCCGGTACCAAACGACTCACAGACCAGTACCGGTCCATGGCCCCGGGGGTTGGGGACCACTGAGTAAAGACATTTGGAGGAATCCTTGTATAAAATCTGTTTTGATCTGCTGTTGTTGATGCTGTTTCTATGACATATGTGAGCTTTCTATCTGTGGTTTTCTCTGTTTGTTCAGACTGGTGGAGAAATTATGGAGCAGAGCAGTATGGACCAGACTCTGTGTGTCTGTACCAGAAATCAGCCTTTGTGATGGAGCAGTGCACTCGGAAGATGACGTACCCTGACTGGGGCTCCGGATGCTACAAGGTGCTGACATGTACATATACTTATTTATGTTTCTGTGAATTTTTAAGATCCCCTTTACAGCTCAGTGGAGAAGGTGACATCTGTAGGTTGAGACTTTTACCTTCTAGAAATCTGTAGATAGGGCTGTTCAATATAACGATATATATCGGATGATGATATAAAAACATCTATAGTTTCATTTTACACTATCGTTTGTTTCGTGGTGTCTTAAATAAACAGTTTACAGCAATATTTTTTTTCATCGTTTTGATGGTCACGGTAGTGGCTATATTAATTTCTTAAATTATTTCTTAATTTCTTTCTCTTATATTTAATGTAACCACACTACAGACAGACAAGGGGCTGTTTTTACGTGCTGTTATTTACAACGACGGTAAAACCATCCCGTGGCTCTGCGTGTTTGTTTTCCATGTACACCTTTCACAATAAAGCTCAAGATCCTGTTGAGACTTTTCAAAATAAACTGAATCACAGGAAAAAGTATGCAGAGAGTTTACGGATGAGAAGGAGGAAAAAAAAAAAAAAAAAGAGCCGTCAGGTGCTAAAAAATAAACCTTAGACTCAAACTTTGAAAGAAAATGGTGGCCGTTACAACTTATGTCTTATGTCATGCATCGGTTAAAACACTCGAATCCAGCTACATGACGCCCAGCTGGAAAAACTTCATGCAAGTCGAGTTGCCAGAGATTCACAGAATTTACAGAAAATATTACATTTTTGTGATTTATATCCTTGTCAGGACGATAAATGTCTCATATCGGGATATGAGATTTTTGTCATATCGCACTGCCCCATCTGTAGATTTTAATTTTATTTATGTATGACAAACAGATTAATAGTTCAGGTTAAATAAATTAAATCCCTTTTTGTTGTCCCAAACTGCTTTAGTGGGCTCTCAAAAGGTTTTTATACAAAGGGAAAAAAAATCCCTAATAAACTTAGAGAAATGAGAGGAAAGTGCATGTCGCTGTGTGTTTTGGGTCTGTGTCACACCCTCTCTGTGCTGCAGGTGTCGTGCTCAGCTCAGGGCCTCATGGTGTTCGTTCAGGATCGTTCCTTCCTCTGTGTCCGTAAAGGTCAGCTGCTGAGCATCAGCGTACGCGTTAACGAGTGGGTTTACAACGGTGTCCTCATCTGCCCCGCCTGCACCGACTTCTGTGATGACTGCCCCCTACCCTACCATCTCCCACCCATCAACACCTCCAGGAGCAACCCAATTGGTCAGTCAGTGGACCAGCTGATTTAAATGCTTCTCTTCCTGTCCCATGGTGAAGCTGTCTGCCTTTTAGATTTCAACTGATGGTTGAATGAAGTTGTTTAATGAGTGAAGAAATGGGAAAAGATATAAATGAGAACAAAGTAAAGAAATCTGTGAGGAAAGCACTGAAAGGGAAAGATAAAACTTAAGATGTATGTATAATTAAATACTCAATGTGTGTAGAATATAATTCTGTTATGTAAAACAAACATGATTTGATAGATGTTATTTTCTGTCTTTCTTTTAGATCCATGCTCCAGTTCTCCAGGTTTGGCCACCACTCTGTGGCTCCTGCTGCTCAACCTGTTTCCTCTAGTGGCTGGACTGCTGCTCTGCCACTGCAGCTGATAAAACACACACACACCAAACACACCAAGGTAGCTGAACAGTCCTCTATACCATAGTCACTTGAGGACTTGGACTGCAGATGTTTTTCCTCTTTGTTTTACTCATTACCTCCTCCTTCCTTCCCTTCCGCACTTGCGTTCCTTTCTTTGCCATTCTCAGCCTGTTTTCTCATTTTGTTCTGTGACTGCATCCTCATGCATCTCTCAGCACAGTCAGGTATCCTTTTGCTGAAGGTCCATTCAGTTGTCCCTCACCAGATTTACATGCACTTAAGTAATCAGGTTATAGCCAGCTTTCATTTGAACAGGATTTATCTGACTGACACACACAGCCAAAACTCTGTCAGTTATCAACATGGAAAGCAGCTAAATGGCAGCTAATACTGTTATTTGTGGGCGAATTATTGGCAAAAAGAGCAAGTTGGATCGACAGGGACCATTTTTATGGCAGAGCAATGGAACATGAAAAATAAGCAGTGTAATTTGTCCTTTTCAGTGAGGCAGGGATTACTCACATTACATATACTCAGAATGCACTAACACCACTTTTTTATTATCAAGACCATGATACATATATGTACTTACAATACACCTATTATTGTTGTTGTTAATATTGTTATTATTATTATTATTATTATTATTATTATTATTATTATTATCAACAACAACAACCTCTTCAAAACAAAAGTCTAGCATGATAGAAATAAGTTTTTGTATGTAAAAAATAATGAATAAAAAGCCAAATATTTGCAAATTTTAGCATCTTGTATTCAAAGATCTGCTTATTTCTCATGTTTTCACACACAGGGTTTAGTGCAAAACGAGACATTGATCAGTATGTTTCATATGCTAATCGATTAATGAACAGTAATTTAAGGTTATTTTAGGATTAAGAATTTTAAAGTGATTTTATAATGAATCATTTATGTAATTTGAAATGACATTTGTCAGCCCTTTTATAATAATTGACCAGTTGTTACTACAGCTTGCTTTTCAGATGGTCAGCTAACATATCCAAAGTTGTAATAGTGTAATATTGTTTTGTGTACACTTGAAATTGTATTCACAGATATTTTTAAGGACGTCATTGAATGTTTAACCAGGTTACTGTATATATGTTTAATATGTTTCTGATTTCTGCTGGAACCAGGTTGCTTGCGGTGATTTGGTTACTTAAGTGCATGAAAATGGTTAATTCAATTCAGCATGTAGAGTGTCTGCAGCATCATTATTCCCTAAAAAAACACATTTTAGTTCTGGACACTTGTTTATTTTCAATTTTTTTGTTTTTTTTTTTTTTTTTTTTTTTTTACTGTGAGCTGTGGAAACCTGATAGATTCACATTGGTTTCTGCCTAAATTTCACAACTTTACTTCAGCTTTGGGATCATCGTACTTCGTCAGATTCCTTTTTCTTACAGTGTAGTGATGGAAGCGGGATGTCTGTATTTTTTAGCTGATCTCTTCAAACTAATTTCAAGATTGTGACAAACTGACTGTCGATCGACAATACCACAATGGTGCAAACTACCTGCAAACTTCTTCCTCTTAACTGAAACAACACGAGGCTCTGTGCAGTTTGCTGAACTCTGGTGGCAGCAGAAGGTAACTGTTCAAAGTTTTTTAAGCTTACAGGATCTTTTATGCTGAAAACTCTTTCTGTAAATATAAATATGAGACCGGACAGGAATATGGTGGAAGGACTTCCCCTGCCACCTCCTGACAGGTCACTTGAGCTTAAATTCATTACCTCATTTTCTTCTAAGAGTCATTTTATCCTTATTTAAGATATGTAGCTGTTCAGATGTAGGTATGGATCTTCTTTGGAGTACAGATTGATAATGTTGATGATCGTTTCTCTCTACATGATGAGCTCAAGCGTTTGCATTCAAGGCCTTTGCTTTTTGCAAGTAGAAGTTTTGCTGATGACGATGCTGTACATTCACTTTACTATAATTATTTTCCAACCTCACAAATATATAGGAATTTATTTGTTGTAAAAAGCAAATGAATTTTCTGTTGTTGTTTTTTTTTTTTTTTTTTTTTTTTTTTTTTTTTGGATAATCAGTCAACACAGATTAACACCTTAACAACTCAGATTGCCAAGCCTGCTGCTGCTGGCTTGGTGGAAGGTCTTTACTGAGGAGTAATATCTAAAAAATGTTTCCCACAGGTTTCATTTCATTGTGTCCTCAGCAGGGCCAAAACCCAGCAACGTTTCCGCAAATGAGTCCACTGACATTTCAAAAGCACAAAGCTCTCAAATTTCCTCCTGAGTTCAAAACCAAGACTGGATTTGTCCTCGTTCCATTGGTCTTAAAATTACGTGACTGCTTATTTCTGTTAATTATTGGCCAAAAATTACAAACCAAATGGCCTGTTTACAGTTAGCTTAGGTGGTGATGCAATGAGCTAAACTAAGATTTGGCAGGAATCCAGTGGTGCTTAAAATCATAAACCTGCTATGGAAACACTTTTACTGTTTAAATACAGATTATGTTTGGCTCTTTGTTTCTGTAATGACGGGGACTCTTTCTCTCAGCAGTTCATACATTTGTTGGATTAGCGATTGTTTTCAGTTTATGGCCCAGAGTGAGAAGGGCTCCTACATTTGTGGTTCATTAAACTCTTTTGCATGAGCCAATTGAGAACAGCCTCTGAAGCCACAATGGCAATGCTTTAGGATAAAAGTGCAAATTTCTGTTTGTTTGTTTTTTGTGGTGGAGAGTGGTGTGGAGAATGAATGTCTGAAATAATGATTCGCTCCTTTTTTCCAATGAATCTGCAATGTTTTGCTCTTATTTATGCAAAAACAAACAAAGACACAAAACAAACTCAAAATGACACAAAATTATTAACAAACTTATTATTAACAAATTTTTGATTACCTTAAAAAGTACGTTGAGACACAATTCTACCAGTTCAGTGAGGAGAGAAGAACAATAAAGACACAAAAATGACCTTCCATAGAAAACAAAAACCTATAAAATCACCACACAGATGCAAAATAAGCACATGAGCATGCTAAATGTCTCCAATAGTGGAAACGTGACCATGAAAGCCCTGAAAATGTTTTGAAATGAGATGCAAATTAAAATTGCAAAGAAACTGTGTGACTTGCACATAAATTTAAGTTAGTAGCGTGGGTACAAAATAATTTTCGGACCGTAATGAAAAGAAAATAATTCACCACTTAAAGAAAATATAATCTAACATTAAACAACTTGGTTTAGTGATTGATGTTAATAATCTGGCTCATTTCCTCGACTAATGGAGCTCATTACATTTATTTAAGACTGACTTTGCATTTCTGTGTTTGCACTAAAAGAACTGGCCTTAATGTGCGGGGATGTCTCTGTTTGAAAGCTGATGCCAGGAGAGGTTTTATTATTATCTGAAGCCCACAAATGACGTTTGCCACCAGGTCGGTCATGCATGTGTGTCTGTGTTGTGTAAGAATGTTTTAATTGATAACACTGTCAGTAATGTGTCCGGGAACATGATTTATATGATGTAAGTGTTTCGAGTCATGCGCTGTAGAGTTTGTGTCGTTGGTGTTAGTCCTGTGCAGACCTGACCTCAGTTTACTTTGATCATGTTAAAAGTGAATTTCAGCTAAAACTGACTGAACTGTAAGAGTTTGTGATTTACTTTTACTTGTTTGAAATTACTGTTCAATGTGATGACTGAACTTGCACTAAGTTGAGGGGGGAAGAAAAAAATCAGATCCCACGTCAGTGTTGGTGAAACACGCAGAAATGTGATGCTTCTGTTTCCAGTTAATTTTATGCAGAAATGAGGCTGTTGAGAAAACAGCCGATCTTTTCAGTGAGACACTTTGTGTTACTAAAATGATCTTTGTTATATTTATTTTATTTTTTAGGAAAAGGGCTGCTTTGTAAGACAAATCAAGACTTTTGTCTCAGAATAAAAACTGTCTGTATCCCTGAAGACGTCTGTGTCTGTCATGCTTAATAAAATTACATTTATTCATTATATTAAACCAAACAACAGAAAGTTTAATGCTCCTAAAAGTTTGGAACTGAAACTGATATGTAAAACCAACCAGTGTCTCCACCTAACAGCCACAGAATTAAACAGGATTGTAGATTACTGGAAAATTATTTTTGACAGAGAAGGAATTAAGGCTATAGTGGGAATATCAAACACTAGGTTTAAAAAAAACTAACAAATTTCCTATTTGGTATAACTTGTTCTGGCTTATCTCACATGGTGATGAAATCCTTTAAAAGTTGGACTCAAAAGTTATTTTTTTTCCCACAGAATAATCAGATAACAGATCAAACTAATGGTTGTTTCTGTTCCTCTCCATCAGAAACATTAAACTGGTGCAGTTGGTTGGTTTTCATGGAATGACCCATCTATTGCCTGGATATTCTACTGTAAAATGTGACAGATTTGAACTCTGATGAACCCAACTGCTATCTGTCATTCAGTTTATTAATAAAACCCACGTAGCCGGTCTTTGGACTGAAAGTTTATTGAACACTAAAATTACCATGCTTTACAATCCAGGAAGAGAAATATCAACGTAAAATATGCTGTACAGATTTTTACAGTCATTCACCAAGAGAAATTGAATGGCCTCACCGCTTAGAGCCTCACTCCTTTAAGGTATGTGTGTTCTGTCTTAAATCTTATATCACTGAGTAATATTATGCTGTACGTCTCTTACTAAAGTTAAATGCCATTTAAAAACCATCTCTCAAGATTTTCAGTACAAGAATAAAAAGAAAAAGGTCTATTTGGTCCGCGTGTTATCCAAGTATTTAAACCCACCAATTCATTCTCTAAATAATTCTGTTGGCTCAGGTTGGAATTAAGAGAGACAGATTAGAGCCGCTAGATGAATGCTTACTGGCTAGTGGGTAGTTTGCTTGGTACATTGGATCCACAACTGTCCAAATGTTACGTGTTTGGTTAAAAACTGTATCAGTCCAGTATTCCTATGCCGTTTCCAAAAACATAGAAATAATTCCCTGCAAATTAGATTGGGGGGGGGAAATATCTTATGAGTTATAAAACATGTTTGTTCAACTGAGAAATCCCTGAAAGTTAGCGAAATTTTAAATAATAAAATAGTAATAATTTAGCCTAGAGAAATTTTAATTTGTGTCTGCACTTACAGACTTAAGACAGGAAGGTTCATACTGTGGAGATCAGGGGAATTATTTTGCTGCTATTGTTAATAATCATCATCATTACCATTGCATTAATAATACAGTTTACAGTATTGATATTGTATTCAGATGTTTAAACATATTGGTACCCAATTAGCCTTTATTACAGGTGCAGTTATAACCACTTTAAACTGTTGAGTTAAATCAATAATCTTAAATGCTTTTGAATGCTTGTTATAATCTTAAATGTGTATGTGCTGATTCTGATAAAAGAAAGGCCTAACTCTGAGTACACTCTGTGCCAAAGTAGACAGGAAGCGCAGGCTTTTGCAGAGCGTGCTTGTGAAAGTGAAAGTTACTTTGAGGAGCTGATTGAATGATGCTATTTGAATAACCAGGTTATTCAAATTGTCTTTTATACTTTTATATTCTTTGATTAAGCTTTTAGTAGAGGTTCTTGCAGGATGTGGGCCTGATGTTTCAGACGATAAGCGTGCGTCCGGCAGCGACAGAAAGACAACTGGCAGGGAGACGAGGCGATGTTCTTTTCAAACTGTGTTAAAAGTCATTGTGGTTTTGATTTGATGTAAGCATGTATTGTATCTGATGACGCATGAGGGGGCGTTAACCCTGATGAATCAAAAGCAATCTGAAGTGTCTTTTGGGTGGAGATCTACAGCTGATGTTTTGCAGTGTACATCTCACCACGCTGCGTGTGTTCATTAAAATCATCGTTTGACTCCACCCGGCCAGATCATTGTTGTTATTGGATTACCTCCTGTATCCCTCCTTAATATTTGAACCCTTAACAATACCCATGTTTTATCATCTGGTTTACTTCACTAAAGAAGCAAAAATGCGAGGGAAGGCGATAACTGGATAAAATGTCATCCTCTTTCTCCTCAGCTTAATCTACTGAACTGAAGTCAGAGCTCTAACACATGAAATGTGTAAAACATGTTCATTTTTTCCTGTTTTCATCACAATTACTTATTGTTAGCAGATTAAACATGCGACCCTACTACCTACAGACAGCTAACAATGAGCTGGCTAAAACACAGCAGCAATAAGCTAATGCTATATTACCTAATGTTAGACTCAAGTGTCCTAAAAATCACATTTTCCCTCCAATAAACAATTTGATTACATTCTCACATTGTATGAGAGTTTATTCGCTAAGAGTCTGAATTTAACAAAGTTAGCTCCACTTCAAAGTGTCACTAACAAGGGCAGCACTTATTGACAGAGAAGTTCAGGATATCTTGAACAACACTGCAGTATCATTTTCAGACAGAAATGAGCTTCAGTGACTCATCGACTCATATTGGACTCAACCACAAAGTTTTGCGTTTTCCTCCATAGATGTCGATACATATTGCTACTGCTGAGCTAAACAGCGGACTGACAGCACACACTCACTACAGATAAATGGAAACCACCTTAGTTGGGATTGTGTATTTGAACTGGGAGGGGTACGAAAACAGAAATGGGTTGAATGCAGTCTGCTATGTACTGACATCTAGTGTTGAGATTTTGCACACTGTAACTTTAATCTTGATTAATATTCACAATAAAAATATTAATCAAACATTTTGAAGTCTGTATGTGTTTCATAGTGTCTAACTGTCCTGGTACATTTAAACCTAACAATTACTACATGATGGAAACACGTCATGTTATCTCTTTTAATAAAGTTTGTGTATGTATACACAGGTCATGCTGATATTGAACAAAAAACACAAAGATCAGATGTTAATCAGATTTATTTGCTCTCTTTCCTTCTTAAACATGTTTTTAATGTTAGTTATGATTCAGAATTGGTGACTGACCCTTTCTCACTGTCCCTCTTCCCTTCTGTTTTTCTTTTTCTTCATCTTTCTTTCTCCCTTTCCTATCCCTCAGTCATGTCTGTCCCGTCTGTAACAACTGAAAATAAAATAAAATAAACAATAACAACAAAGGACGATCAAATGGACCAATACGGCAAGGCAGTGATGATCCATATGGCAAAGTAATTCTGACAGCTAAAGAACTAAATGGAACAGGCAAAAAAAGAATTGGTGACTGAAACAAGTATGACACATACGGACATCAGGAAATAAAGACACAATAGATATAACCTCGGTAAATGAAATTGGTGTACACTAGGCCAAAGCAATGGTTTTGACTGGAACAGTGTTAACCCCCTGGGTTTGATGTCATTAATCAAATAAAATTTAAAATAAGTAATTTATTAAATGTTTGAACAGAAATATTTAAATCTTTATTTAGTTCACTAATTCCAATTTTAAATAACTGACACATTTAATTATTTAATGGTGTATTTAATTCATTTATGTATTTAATTTTGTCACTCCTTGCCCCCTAATATTAATATTAGTTGTAAATAAGAAAACACACAAAGACAAAAAAGTACCCCAAATTGGATTAAAGTCATATTTCACCAATATCTTTTCCTTGGGACCCAGTTTTTAAACACCTGAAACCTTTGACTCAGATATAATGTGTTGTGAGACACGTGTGGCTCCTGAGCCACTGTCTGTGAATCACAGCATTCGGTAATGTCCATGACCCACACATTGGATTCCAACTCACTGTTCATCTAAGACCTGAAGTCAGGATAGCTGTCATAATTTATTGACAGCTCCATTACATGTGTGTGTCACAGGTCGTCTAGAAACCCGACATAACCACAGTTAATGCCTTTTATGCATTCATCATTTGCTAGAAGGTATTGAAAACTGAATAACCTGGCGCAAATTTGTTCACGTTTGCTACCTCACGGTCCGATTTTGAGTGCGCATGCATTGGCACCATCTCCTTCCAGGTAACAAGGAAATTAAATCATTCAGATGGGTTCCTGATTGGCAGAGCTAACTCGAAAAAAAAATTACTCTTTTTTTTTTTTTTTTTTTTTTGCCTGTCCCGTTTGGCTCTTTTGCCATCAGAATTGTTGTCTAAAGGCAAACAAAGATGCCCAACGGATTTACTTTACCAAATTGACCATCCCAGCCTTGCCGTAATGGTCCATTTGATTCACCTTTTATTGTTTATTTTATTTTCACTTACTGAATACGGGACAGACTTGACTGGGGGAAAGAAGGGGAGAAAGAAAGAGGGAAAGAGAAACAGCTGAGAAGAGGGACAGGGGAGAAGGGCAAAAGACAAAAACCAACAGAATGAGCAGAAAAAAAAGAAAAAAAAGGCATATATCAATCACCTGGATCACCTGCTGAGAAAGAAAAAAGAAAACAAGCAGAAGAGAACAAGAGTAATAGAATAAACAACATCACAATGATATATGGGAATATGACAGTAAATACTAAATATTAAACATTATTGTGCAGCACATAAGATCAACAGAACACAGTGTGCTTTGAGGTAGGAGCCAAAAAGGGTGTAGTTTGTGGGTGTGATCACCCGTGTGTACACCTGTGAGCAAAAAAAATTACTCTAAATTTTGCGTTATGGATAGCTTTTTTTCTCTAAAGAGTGATACATGTGCCAGAAATGGCTGCCCCTGCTTCCTCCTCTGGATGCTTCTGAATTGAAGATTCACTTGTCCTCCTCCAAAAGGTCCAGGTGGTGGTACCAAATGAGAAGGAGGGGAAGAGGGACTTTAGGAGAGTCCATATCAATAAAAGCTGAGCAGGAGCTAAGAGCATGAACTATGAGAGGCTGAAAACAGAGCAGGAACTATGAACTAGGGGATTCAGAGCTAAGAGGGAAGTGGCAAATAACATGAACTGTGAGGGGACACTACACAGCAAATCCAGCATGTCCAAATTAACACTGTCGGATTTGATTTCA